ATATACAGCTGCTGAGTGGCCAGGCTGGGTCTTTTATATACATCTCTTCCGGGTTCTTAACCGTCTTGGTATACTACCTATCAGTACTTTCTTAAGCTTAAATCTTAAGTAATCTACTTTTCTGTTATTTCATATAGGTTATTTTTTGCATTTGTGAAATTAAAGGATGTATTAGGGTGAAAGAGCCGGGTACAGAATAGACATTTCCTAAATATTGGTTGAATAAATTAACAGTTGTGTCTTTTGTGGAAAGAGCAATAATTTAAAACACCTATATTAATTGATATGCATAATGAGATGTTTTAGCTAGATGTTTTTTAAAGGGAATACTGAATGATACATGTACATTAAAATAGTTCAATGTTAGGTTTGAGAAATAAACCTCAGAATCTAATTTGAGGTTAATGTAGATTTAGTACCATGTCTTCCAAATTCAGATCTAGGGCTGAAGTATTTAAAATGAGACATGAAATTTAATGTTTAAAAAACAGTAAAATTGAATATCCTGAATCTTTGAAGAAAGAGTTAATTATACTTACTACACTATATTTGGCCCTCAGTGTGGCTCAGACGGTAAAGCGTCTGCCTGCAATGTGGGAGACCCAGGTTCGATTCCTGGGTTGGGAAGATCCCCTGGAGAAGGAAATGGCAACCTACTCCAGTACTCTTGCATGGAAAATCCCATAGATGGAGGAGCCTGGTAGGCTACAGTCCATGGGGTCTCAACGAGTTGGATGCAACTGAACGACTTCATTTTACACTATATTTACCATTGGAAAAAATTATGGACTATTGGATTTTAAAACAACTGTTTTCTATATCAGTGACTTTCCCATTAGCCAAGGTAACTAAAATACTACATTTCAAAGATAATACCACAGTGTAAAAATAACCCTCTCAGTGACAAACTGATAATGATGGAAACTGAGGGCAGATTAAATTAATCAGCTTGTCAGGTCTAATATACACTTCAACAAGAATCAAAATATTTACTTTAACTTTGAATTCTTTTTTCTTTGGCATAGGCATAATAACACAGTTTTATATATTTGTTTTAAGGGTTTGGTTATAAAATATATGTCTTAAAATTGGTAAGCATAATTAATGCTTGTATTTTTCTAACGTTGTAAGTATATTTAAACACTGGTATGTCTAATTATCAAATTGGAATTAAAACATTTCCATTTTTACAGGTTAATAAGGAATATATTGGGAGTGTTTTTGCTCTGAGTCGCCATAGGAAAAAAGTGAGATTAGTAAGTCAGAGATTAGTAAGTTATCCTATTAATAAGATGGGATGCTTATTCCTTCAAGAATGCTAAAATACTGTAAATATATAAAAAAGTGTTTCTGGTGAACTTATTTGAGGAGTCATATTAATTGTCTGAAATATGGCCGTTGATACTTTACTCAGTTTGGTTCAGTTCAGTTGCTCAGTCGTGTCTGACTCTTTGCTACCCCATGAACCGCAGCACACCAGGCCTCCCTGTCCGTCACCAACTCCTGGAGTTCACCCAAACTCATGTCCATTGAGTCGGTGATGCCATCCAACCATCTCATCCTCTGTCATCCTCTTCTCCTCCTGCCCTCAATCTTTCCCAACATCAGGATCTTTTCCAGTATGTCAGCTCTTCGTATCAGGTGGCCAAAGTATTGGAGTTTCAGCTTCAACATCAGTCCTTCAATGAACACCCAGACTGATCTCCTTTACGATGGACTGGCTGGATCTCCTTGCAGTCCAAGGGACTCTCAAGAGTCTTCAACACCACAGTTCAAAAGCATCAATTCTTCTGTGTTCAGCTTTCTTTATAGTCCAACTCTCACATCCATACATGACCACTGGAAAAACCATAGCCTTGACTAGATGGACCTTTGTTGGGAAAGTAATGTCTCTGCTTTTTAATATGCTGTTTAGGTTGGTGATAACTTTCCTTCCAAGGAGTAAGCGTCTTTTAATTTCATGGCTGCGGTCACCATCTGCAGTGATTTTGGAGCCCCCCAAAATAAAGTCTGACACTGTTTCCATTGTTTTCCCATCTATTTACCATGAAGTGATGGGACTGGATGCCATGATCTTAGTTTTCTGAGTGTTGAGCTTTAAGCCAACTTTTACACTCTCCTCTTTCACTTTCAACAAGAGGCTCTTTAGTTCTTCTTCACTTTCTGCCATAAGGGTGGTGTCATCTGCATATCTGAGGTTATTGATATTTCTCCCAGCAATCTTGATTCCAGCTTGTGCTTCTTCCAGTCCAGCATTTCTCATGATGTACTCTGCATATAAGTTAAATAAGCAGGGTGACAGTATACAGCCCTGACGTACTTCTTTTCCTATTTGGAACCGGTCTATTGTTCCATGTCCAGTTCCAACTGTTGCTTCCTGACATGCATATAGGTTTCTCAAGAGGCAGGTCAGGTGGTCTGGTATTCCCATCTCTTTCAGAATTTTCCAGTTTATTGTGATCCACACAGTCGAAGACTTTGGCATAGTGCATAAAACAGAAATAGATGTTTTTCTGGAACTCTCTTGCTTTTTTGATGATCCAGTGGATGTTGGCAAGTTGATCACTGGTTCCTCTGCCTTTTTCTAAAACCACCTTGAACATCTTGAATTTCACAGTTCACGTATTGCTGAAGCCTGGCTTAGAAAGTTTTAAGCATTACTTTACTAGCGTGTGAGATGAGTGCAGTTGTGTGGTAGTTTGAGCATTCTTTGGGATTGGAATGAAAACTGACCTTTTCCAGTCTTGTGGCCACTGCTGAGTTTTCCAAATTTGCTGGCATATTGAGTGCAGCACATTCACGGCATCGTCTTTACTCAGTAACCATCAAAAAAGAGATACATCCTTTCTTTCATGGTTGAGAAGATGAAAAAAATTTTAATGCACTGAAAATAGTACTTTATTTTTCCTTTGCATTTAGAAGTTTGTCTAGTTTTCTTACTCTTAATCTTCTGTGACTTCTATTTTGTTTCCTGTAGTGTAATTCCTAGAAATATTTCAGAGAGCCAGTTACCACAGTCTCTTTGGTGATCAGGTTTATAATACTGAACTGATTTTTAAGGAAAAATGGAGAGGTGCACCTTTATTTTAATTGTTATTTTTTTGGCTCTAATGATTTGTGTTTAGTTGAGTTCTGGGTTGTAAATGTTTTGTTAAGGTTATACTTTAAAGCCTCTTTGTGACCATGGTTAATTTTGTATTTGGTGCAATTATGGTAAACTAGGATTGCACTCAGTGCACAGGGATTTAAGAAATAAAGCCTTAACCTACCCCAGATTCTTAAGAGTTTGCCCTGGAAAGAGTGGCAGGGATGGCTAGAAAAAATCTGGTTCTGTGAACTCTTTTGTGTACATTAATTTCCAGGCTGAATATATATGAGCTTTCAGTTTTTTAGGTGGGTACTTCTCAGATAAACAAGCTTGTACCATAATTTATATTCCTTTACCAGAGTAACTTTCTTTAGGTTCATGGTTGACAATACATTTCAATTATATAGTTTTGAAGGTTGTTTTCTTTGTTATAGTAAAGCAAATGATTGGTACATTTTATATTTAAGAGAAAACTGTAAAGTATCTCTTGAAAATGGTGTTTTCTGCAATTTGGAAGAACTTAGATTTCAATTATTGTAACTAGTACTTTGGCTTCCGGAATAGCTTTCCAGGCCGTGTTCCAAAATTATATGTGGAGTCTAATTGTGAAAGACTTGAACTTATTTATTAGGTTACAGGTATAATATTTTTAAAGTAGATTATTATTATAAAATATTGTCATCTTTAATTAGGTATACTGCTACAGAAGAAATACCTATTATATATTATCGGGAAAATTAAATAATATGCTGGTTATTCTTTAGTTTGTCTTAGCCTGCGTTTGAACTCATTTTTAAGTGCATTGTCTATAAATGTTGTATTTCTAACTAAAGTGCAGAGATTTTTTAAAATTCCTGACTCAGTGGGATTATACAGCTTTTGTTTTATTGAGCTTTTCTTAGTAAAAGTAAAAGTTTAATGTTTTTAATAGAATCTCATTAACTTGAATAAGGACAAATGATTCTGAGAGTTGATATTAAACGAATACATGGATTGTTTTCTGTTTTTAATATTTTAATCATAATTGAATTGCTTTTTCCTGCATAAAAAAGGAAATAAAATTTTCTTTGCTAGTATTGTGAATTTCAGATAATTCCTAATTCTATATTTCAATCAGATAATACACGCATAATGCTTAAGAATTTTTTTTGGTATATACCAGATCTTTAATAGTTAGACTTCATTGATTTCAGAATGTATTTTTTGGTGTGTTGTTTCTGTTCTGAAATCAAATGATTTTGTCAAGGTTAAACAAAAACTCGTATGTGCTTACCTTCCTTAAATATATTTTATGTAGTCTAGTTTTCAAGACTTGGCACTCTTAGTCATTAAGGTGTCAAAGTCAGCGAGTAGGCTGGTGTCTTTATTACTAAAGATCAGTGATTATAATTGAGGTTTTGAAATTTTAAGTAGCAATGGCATTCCAGAACGAATGATGACACAGTTATTCAGCTAGATGTTTAAGAGAGTGAAATCCAATGTGTCACTGAGCAGACTATTAGAAAGTGAATGTACAGATGAGCAGGCAAGTTTGCCTGTCTTCCAGATGACATTAAGATCAGAGCTGTTGGAGCAGGCCTGAGTTGTGGAGGGCACCATGCTTCTTTGCATAATTCTTCCGAGCACTTTCCCACGATCTTAAATAAATATGCTGTGTTCACTGAGCATTTACCATGGGCTTATCGTATGCCATGCATCCTGTTGGATGCATGTTGGAAGAAGTAAAAGAAAATAAGGCAAGAGAAGGCTCTTGTACCCTGGGTCTAGTGGTAAGAGATTTAAGACTGGATCTAGAGGTGAGAGATTTTTAAGATACCCTTTTAGGTGAAACAAACCCCCAAGTATAAGTATACTTTTTTTAAAGGAGGGCTTTTGAGTACAGAAATGAAATCATTTCTTTCAAATGGCAAAGCTTTTAATGAGGTTCACATGCTGAATAAGCATACTAATACTTAACAGTGTTTCTAGATATTTCATTAAACTTTTCTCTCCCAAAGAGCGACCTTCAGATAAAAAGTCACAGTGCAAAAGGCAAAGCCCTGTATTCTCAGGAGGTTCCACGCTACTCTTGCCAGCCTCAGGACATCCATACTTTTCAAATTCCACCAAGTGCACCCTGAGATTTGTGAGGGAGACTCAGATCCCTCGTGTCTTTTTTCTTGGCTTCTGCATGAACTCTGCTGTTTCCCAGTGCCCTGGCTACAGCTCGCAGTGGTGATGTCTTCTAAGGCTGTCGAGATCAGAGGTATCCTAGCTTTTGCCGTGTCTCATTGCCTCAGCTTGAGTGTGCTGTGTGTCTCGTGGTCTCTCCAGGTCTCTTGTGGTTCCCGTGTCAGATTGAGAGCTCTGTCCTTGGCCCCAGCTGCTGGCACAGGTTCCGGAGCATTGTGCTCTCACAGCCCCATGGAGACTTTTGTGAAACAGTTCTGTTTAGGTTTGACTTGCTTGTTGATTGCAGTGCCCTTGTACCGGCATAGCTGTCTGACATCATGCTAAGAACCATAGCTCTGAGGCTCCATCGTTCTTTGTTCTTGAGCCAGTCTGTGTGGATTGACTCCTCACCACCCCCACCCCCCAGTTTCTTTTGATATAGTGTGTTCTTGTGTCTAGAAAAGCCTTAAATCTTAGATGACCGCAGCTCAAGTTCAAGAAATAAACTCGGTGGGTGGTTCTTAGCAGACACTTTGAGATGTTTCTATTTACTGTCTTCTTTTTCAGCAAACTATTTTCACATTTTGAATTACGCTTTGCTTCCCGTTTGGGTGGCGGAGAATCTAGCTGTAGTTGTCTCCAGGTCTATTATTTCCGCTTCACTTTTCTGTGCTGAAAGATCCTAATTTTCAAGCAGGCAGAATTCAATGTCCATCTTCACTTCAACACTTTAACTAGTGGGGTGACCATGATGCATTTCTACATTTCTGAGAAGCTTAATTTCCTCATCTGTGAATTTGTAAGAAAATATCTGTTTTATAGGGTTTGTTGTGGAGATTAGATATATATCAGGGGCTGTGCACATGCTGAATACTTATTATGTGGTAGGTAATGTTGACCTTCCTGGCTTGGCTGGATCACTCATTAACCATCAGTAAATAAATGAATCTTTCCTGTTACTTTGCTTCATAGATCTGTGCTTCACAGGCAGCTCTCCTGCAGCTTCTCTGGAAAATGACTGCTTCTTTTTTAAATGATCCCACCAATCACCCCAGAAGTGACTTTTATACATTGTTTATTGGTAGCTCACTGCAGACAGTTTAAATGTGAAGGGAAACACTGGAACTGTTTGCACATGATGTAAGCATGTGACAGTCAGCAGAGTCTAGATTAAAACGCAACAGCTCATAGAACCTGGCGTTTCTGTGGTTCTCTGGACCACAGTTTGGTTATTTTTACAGATGGGAGGAAGCAGCCAGGTGATCTTTGAAGAGCTTCTCCATGTTAAAAAAAAAAAAAATCTGTTACTCTCCAAGACAAGATCTATTATGCTCAACTTTGTATTTTAGGCTAGAGGTTTCCGCATAAGTAAGATGTATTCTGATATTCCCATACTGGAATAAGTAAATATCCAGGATAAACCTAGTACAAGTCGGAGTTTGGAAATTGATCCAGCAGCTTTTAGCCCTTTTGGTTGTGGCCTTTGATGATTTTCATTAAGTTTAGAAAATAGATAGTGCTTATGATATCCATTTGCAAATCAGAGACTTAATTTCAAGTTATTTGCTAATGTATTATTTGGAGTGATTTTACCAGTTAAAGAAGAATATTACCTTGAATTGTTAATAGCATATTATATTCTTGAGAGCAGTGTGAAAAAGAGGATATTTTGGTAAAACAATTTGAATGTTTCCTAAGCAAGGCAGTAATTAATATTGTTTATATTCCTTCCATTTTGTTGTTGTTTATTCGCCAAGTCATGTCCAACCCATGGACTACAGCGCGCCAGGCTTCCCTGTCCCTCACCTTCTCCTGGAGTTCGCCCAAGTTCATATCTCCTTCCACTTAGTAATATTGTTTTTCATGAAAAAAAAAATTTGATAGCTAACATCATAGTTGATATTGTATGTCTTATTTTGCAACAGTTTTCTGAATTTCCATAAATCAAGTAGAATGGTTTCTTAGTTCTCATTACCTCTAAGAAGTACTGAGTTAAAGTTAAATGTAGGACACTTCTTAGTCTTTAATATGCTTATGTTCACTGTGTATATCCTTAAAGTAGGTATGGTAAGCACCTTATTATACTATACAGCTTGGTATTCACAGAACACCTATTGGCATTCTTCATTTTAGTGTTCCAAGGATAGTTTTTGAGAAACTCAGTCATATATAATTCTCAGCAGTTTATGAAGTACTGTTGCATTATTACCTCCTTTGATTTTCACGACTCTGTTAAGTATTGTTTCACTAGTCAGATGTATGAGTATTGGAGAAACTGTGGCTATGTCACAAAGGCACATGTTTACTTAGCTGGAGATTTATATTGAGAAGGAAATTTGATCTTAACTCAGCAATGGTATGTTGTTTTAAGAAGTATTTGAGAAGTTAATTCAGTACAGCTTTGGTGATTAAAGGGAAATATATTAGAAGACATTGATTTAGGGAATGAGAGTTTAAGAATGTCAACTATTTACTACTGAGCGTGCGAGTGAAATTTTCCACTCCTTAATTATGTTTGTGTCAATAAGAAAGAATTTCTTTAAATGTTGTATGTTTTTAAAAGTACGTCATCCCTGATGCTGGGAAAGATTGAAGGCTAGAGGAGAAGGGGATGACAGAGGATGAGATGGTTGGATGGCATCACCAATTCAGTGGACGTGAACTTGGGCAAACTCTGGGAGATGGTGACAGTCAGGGAAGCCTGGCGTGCTGCAGACCATGTGATCGCAAAGCATTAGACATGACTTAGCAACTGAACAACAACAGTGGCTCTATTATATAAACTCCTTGGATTCTTATTAACTTAAAATTTAAAGTACGTGTTAATCTATAATGTTATTGTTTGCTAAGGCAGCCTGTATTTGTTTCTAAAGTGGAAACCCCACAATCGAAACCATTGGGTCATAGACTGATAGGAAGTTGTGTTGAACATGATTTTCGGTGTCCCTTAGTCCATCCTCCTCTTCTAAAAGCTAAAATTATCCCTGCAACATTCCTACTGGATCATGGAATTGTATAGCATAATTGATAATCACTGGAAAGGTTCTTAGTTTTATTTATTAGCAGATGCTTATATATTGCTTAGCATTTTCCAGACACTGTCCCAAGGGATCTGTAAATATCGGCTTATTTCATTAATTGTTATCAAGTGTCTACTAATATGCCAGGTACTTTGCTTGGTTTTTTGAGTTATTTTATTAAATCCTACAGCAGCTGACTGTGGAAGTTTGTATTATTATACACATTTTATAGATGAGATATATACTCTTCTCATGCATCTCAAACTGAGACTACACACCTGAATACCAAGGTTAATACCAAAGGCAGGAAAAGAACTCTGCTACCTCTTCTGGAATTGGCTTTTTTGATACCAAGCAGAATCAGCAGAATTCTCTTCAGTTTCGTGTTTTCAAGAAGGTTTTGCTCTTGGAGCTCCCATGTCAGCAGCAACAGCAAATCTCTCCTTTTGAAAAGAAACCCTTCTTGGGTTGAAGGGATGCTTTGAACAGTTCCTTGAGTTTAGGGGAGAGATGTTTAAGATGCCTGGGAGAAATAATAAATGGTCCTTGTTCAGCCACAGACTCATTAGGTGTGGCTGTGCATGGTGGCTGGGTTTTGAGAAAGCATGTGAGAGGAGAATGGAAGGGGGTCGGGGTGACTTCCAGTGAGGAGAAACGGGAAGGAAGAATGGGTGTGTGTGGGCAATATTGTTAGGTTCTGGAATACATTGTATGATACAGATTTTATCCCTTGTCTCCCCATAGGATCTTTATTCAATGGTTTAAAAGTCATGTGTGGACCTGGGTTTGTTTTTTAGTCCAAGTGCTAACTGCACTTTCGTGGGGAGACTCAGAGCTGACTTGCTGAGATGACCCCGGGGAGGCTGACACAGCTAGGTTCCATGCGTGTTTGTGTCCCTGTATTTCCCTCTGGCAGTATCTGTGTCACTTCTCTCTTATGTAGCATCTGAAAGGGTTTTAGATGATTAAAGAAAAGAATGGCCCCTTCCCTGAACCCTCTCACTCTTTTGTATAAGTTAAATAATTTAAGTTCTGTAATCATTACTCTCAGACACCTTAGCATCAGTAGCCCTGCTGTAGGTGAGCTCACACCTGTTTGCAAACTCCACATGTATTTACACAACAGCAAGGACTTAGACACTGCTTAATCTCTGCACGTCCTCTAGTAGTATGTTCTTTTTAGAGTAGATTCTCCGTCACTCTGTTTGATGTTTAGCAAACTGCTCTTTACTCTTGGCATGTTAATTGTATCCCACTGAAATTCATTACGTAACTACTTAGCTCAAACCAGTAACCTACATTTGAAAATTTGAAATTTTGAGTCTGTTTCCTACATCCATTTTAACATATGTGAAGACAATTTGTCCTTGCCCTTTAGTACTGAATTTTGAGATACTAAGAGATACTGGTATTCCTTCTATTTTTTCCTCCTACCTCATGATTAAAGAATAAGTTTTATAACTAATTATTCACAAATAGTAATTCATTAATCCCATTATTTAAATAGATACCAGATACACACCCACCTAAACTAGAGTTTAGCATTGTATTCTTGTATTGAGCACAAGGATATTATGGGATATCGGTTAAAGCCTTTCTGAAACTAAGCTACTTTTGGGCTCAAGTGTAGTCATGCCTTTTTCTCTGTCTAATAATCTCATCGAAATAGTACTGACCTTTTTTAGTGAACCTGTAGCTACTTCCTCATGCCAGGGATTTCTGTTCTAAGTGCTTACAGTTTACTTTTTTTGAGTTGTCTTCAAAGTTGTCAGCAGTTTATTCCAGGCTTACCTAATTTCTCCACTCCTCTTTGCCTGTTTCTTTTCTTCTCTAGCCTTCACGATGTTTCAACTTTCATTTGATGACTTTACAAAGATACTAGCAATTGGAGAAGCAAGAATGATGGCTTAATAACAGTGGGTTGACATTTTAGAGCATGAGAAACCACCTACTTCCTCCCTTGGCCTTTTAAGAGGAATGGAAAGAGATCAGAGAGAAGGATTTGTGACAGATTAGAAAACAAAGCCTAATGAGAAAAAGCTAAAGCTGGCATATTTGTGTCCCTCCCACCCCACCCCAAAAGAGAAAGCTAAAGACTTCACATGTAGTGTGATGGCCAGCTGTTTTGCACATTCCATGAAGACCATACGAAAGGAAATGGACTTAAGCAGGATTATTCAAGGATTTACATTGAGTATAAATAGAGGTTTGACTCTAAATATTGTTCATCTCTGGGGTGACTTTTTAAAGGAAGTAGGATATTTTCCCTCTCTTCTAATGTCTAAAAATAACAGATTTTCATCTCTCAGTAATGGTGTAGCCTTGTAGTGCTCCCTAAGACTAACAGAGATACTAGGTGACCTTTACAAATCCTTTCTGGCCCAGTGATTCTGTCTTTTCACAAATCTCACCTCACATCTACAGATCAGATGCCACCAATTCTTTCTCTTTCTGTCATTTAAAATGCTGTGAACATTCCTTCATGAAGCT